TGTGCCCACTGAATCACACAGGGACCCCAGAAGTCCTTTCAGGGCTACTCTCTGGGGTCAGTCCTCCCAGACCATGTCCTTCATTCTCAGCTCACTCTTTCCTCCTCTCTTTCCATGTTTAATGCTTGCTTTATCATTTCTCAATCTGAGGCATAATAATGGCCATGAGGAACTCATTTGGTCGATATCTCTATACATCTGTTCAACAAACCCTAGTGGAAATTCAACTCCCCAAAAGTTTACTGTGTTGCAGGAGTCAAGCACAGGGAGATGGCTAAAAGAAGCCATCCCACAGTCAGTGCCTGGTACATGGCGATGACAGCAGAAAGGAGAGAAACCAGCTGCCCGAAAATAAAGTCTCCTTCTCCAACTTCCTCCACAGTAATGTCTCCTCTGTTCTTTTGTACCATGAGCACTGCAGCATCCTCCGCTCTTTGGCCTCCATATACTTAGTCTTATTTTTTTAAGCACCATATTAAGTATTTAAAATCTGGCAAAATAATTATTTACAATAATTATTGTAATACTTAAGTTGTATGAAAACAACCTATGTGATCATCAACAGATAAATGGATAAAGATGTGAGATATATACTTAAATACATTATTTAATGGAATACTACTCAGTCATAAAAAAGGATGAAATTTTGCTATTTGCAACAGCATGGATGGACCTTGAGGTTATTATGCTAAATGAAATAATTCAAAGAAAGATAAATACTGTATGATTTCACTCATATACAGAATATAACAAATAAATCAACAAATCAAAACAAACACATAGCCACAGACAACAGCATAGTGGTTACCTAGTAATCAGGGGAAAGGGGAGGGGGAGGAGGAGAGGGCAAAATGGGTAAAGAGGATCAACCACATGGTGACAGATGGAAACTTAAGTTTTTGGTGGTGAGCACATTGAAGCACATAGAGAAGAAATGTGAGTTTGTATGCATGAAACATACAATGTTATAAATCAATGTTATTTCAGTAAACAAATTTCAGAAAACCTGGTAAAATGGTTGCTATAAGTAAGAGATTAATACAGCTTAGGTAGTATTGTAACAAATATTCTCTTACTAACAAGATTTGAAATTCACACTGAGCTTATAAAAAGCTGAGGCAAGAGTAGTTTCTCACTCCAAGTTACATCCCAAAGGCTACAGATTGTACAACTTTAGAAAAGATTAGCACAAAAATCTCAGACATGATGTAGAGAGTTAATAAACCAACTTACAAACTTTTACAACTGTCAATTGACTCATGAACAACTTTACTCATCCTCCCACCAGAGGTATTTTGAAGTTAATGCCAGACATACCGTCATTTCATACATAAGTATTTCAACTCATATCTCTTAGAGATAAAATTTTTAAAATGATTATTACAGTATCATTAAACCTTTAAAATGATTAATGCCTTAATCTCATTAACCATGTAATTTTCAAATGTCCCCAAATGTTTTAGTTACTTGAATCATAAATAAAATAAGGTCCCTACACTGGAACTGGATTATGCTGATATTCTCCTCATGGTGTCACTAAATGCATCCTCTATGTCTCCTGGAAATTGGTGTTAGAACTATAATATAAGCCTGATCACATTTGGCTCAAGTTTCTGGCAAGACAATCTTATAGCTGGTGTGGTGTACTAGCTGGTTTTCACTTTTTTTGTGATAATAGCACACCATTGATGATCAGTGTCAATATCCCTTAATTCATTAGAGTTTGCAAAACTGTGATACAGTGACATTCTATCATTCCTCCATCTTTTAAGAATTGGGAAATATGCCACTAATTAGAAATTTCTTTGCACCAACTACATGGTTACTCTGAGCTACAATTCGTAGAAGAAAGGCAAGGACAATACTTGAGTCTTTTCACTTATCATCAGTTTTCAAAATGAGTTACTTTACTGGCATTCCCTACAGGAGACCAACTACTAGTGTTTTTCTTTAGTATTATTGAAAGCTTTGAATTCAAATATATTTAATGTGTTTCAAAATACACCATAGATACTATTCTTACTGATCCTCAAATTGGCCCATTTTTGAGTCCTGAGTCCATTAAGATGCCATCAGGAGTTTTGGGGGAACTTAGCTTGAAAGGTTTCCCCAGGGGCTCAGACAGTAAAAGAGTCTGTCAGCAGTGTAGGAGAACAAGTTCGATCCCTGGGTCGCGAAGATCCCCTGAAGAAGGAAATGGCAACCCACTCCAGTATTCTTCCCTGGAAAATTCCATGGACAGAGGAGCCTGGGAGGTTACAGTCCATGGGGTCACAAAGAGTCAGAGACGACTGACTGACTTCACTTTCAGGAGTTTTTGATAACTGCTTTGCCTTCTAAATTTGCTCTAAGTTCAAGCAGGAGACCCCAGTTCGATTCCTGGGTCGGGAAGATTCACTGGGGAAGGGATAGGCTCCCCACTCCAGCATTCTTGGGGCTTCCCTGGTGGCTCAGCTGGTAAAGAATCTGCCTGCCATGCGGGAGACCTGGGTTCAATTCCTGGGTTGGGTAGATCCCCCGGAGAAGGGAACTCTAGTATTCCGGCCTGGAGAATTCCATGGACTGTACAGTCCATGGGGTCGCAAAGAGTTGGACATGACTGAGCGACTTTCACTTTCATGTTCCCTCTTGTACGCTGCCTGCCACAGACCTGGAAGCACCTATTTTCCAAGAAGAGCTGGTTAACTTTAGTAGGAAATGGCATTTAGAGACTATAGGGCTGCTCAGAGGGCATTTAGAGGGCATTTAGAGACTATTAGAGACTGTTAGGGGTGCTCATTGCTAGCAGGTTTGTCGTTTTTCCAGGCCCTGCCATGGAAAAGAGCTGGAAAATTAATCATCACAGGATCTTTCCTTAACCCTATCTATCTTTCATATTTTCCTTTAAAACACACCCAAAGGCTGGGTTCCCAATAATATTAGCTTAATCACTCAACTGCTTTATCCCATAAAATACATTTTAAAAACCTGTAGCAAAGACAACCAACATGACCACTATAATACAATTACTCTAAAGAGTTTATATTTTTAGAGATGTCATTGTCTTCCAATTACAATTCAGTTGGTATATATAGTCACGTTTACTGACATTGAAATAGCCCCTCTCTGCACGGTTGTTGTATCAGTTAGTCAGTATATAACTAGGCCCTTCTGCTTCATCTGGTTTCCATGGTTAGGAGTCTTTTAAAATTAAATTGTGTTAAAATTATGCAAAATATGTGTATGTTCTAAAGTTAAGGAGACAAACAAGATACATTCAGAGAAATCTAGCTTCTACTTTCTCTCTCCAGTCACCACACTGTTTCCTCAACTGCACTACAGGTAACCACTTTTTTTTGTTAATTTTTTTTTTTGTTTTAAAATTTCCAAATATTAGTACTCCTATCTCTTTTTTTAGTGAATGATATATACTATATCTACCAGTTTCCACCTTGCTTTTCTGCCCTGAAGATCACGCTACAATAGTATACAGAGATACTCTTCATTCCTTTTATAGCTGTGGATATAGTATATGTTATTCATCAAACTCTTGTGTTGACCACAGCTGGACTGTTTCTACCTTTTGCTATTATAAAACACTGCTATAATAAATAGCCTCACATGTGTGTCTTTTCTTATTTTTGCCTTGAGATAGGATCCCTAGAAATAGAACTGCCTGGCCAAAGGGTAAATATAAATGTAATTTTTTTAGGTATTGACAAATTTTCTTCCCTAGCATCATCGACTTAATGGACATGAGTTTGAGCAAACTCCAGGAGACAGAGAAGGACAGGGAAGCCTGGCGTGCTGCAGTCCATGGGGGTCACAAAGAGTCAGACATGACTGAGCAACTGAACAAGGGCTTATACCGTTTTGCATTTCCTCCAGCAGTGTTTGAGAGTGCCTGCTTCCTCCCATTCCCTCTAGTCTCATCAACAGGATAACTTATCAAACTTTAAAATTTCTATTAAAGTGATTGGTAAGAAACAATAAATCAGTGTAGTATTAGTTTGTGTATTTATTAATACGAAATATTAAGTAGCTTTTCACGTGTTTAAAAGGCAATTTATAATTCTTTTTCTGCATATCACCTACTCCTATATCTTGTCCATTTTCTTGCTAAGCTGATAGTTTTCTTATTCTGTACTTTTTAGAAATATTAACCCTCTGTGGTTAAAAACTGCAACACCCTTCTCTGATTTGTCATTCTTTTACTCTGTTTATTATGTTTTCAGCTATACTAAAGTTATTATTTTTACTATCAAATTATCTGTAGCTCCTTTATTGCATCTGGAGTTTGAGTTGTAGTTAGGGTAATTATCTACTTCCAGAGGAATTCACCAGCTTTTTTTCCCTATTACTTGTCTGGTTTCATTTTTGTACATTAAGTGATTGAGTCATTTGTAATTTATCACTGGCACAGCACAAGCACTAAATCTAGTATCATCTTCCTTCACTATTTAAACATGAAATAATGGTGTGCATCTGTGTCTATTTCCTCATTTTCTATTCAGTTCTAGTAGTATATCTTTTTATGAACCAATAGCACTGTTTTAATTACAAAGGCTTAATAACGTGTTTCAAAATCTAGTAGGTCTACAACTCTCCTCTGCTGCTTATAAGTTTTTTTTAAATATTTTTACTTATCTGTTCCTTCCAATGAAGTTTATAATCAGATTGCCTAGCTACAGGAAAACACACATACACAGAGCCGTCATAAAGTAACAAACTAACTTTAGGGAATTGACAATTTTATGATGCTGAAACTAAAGGAAGTGTTAAGAACTAAAACTTGCAAAAAAGCCTTAAAATAGCTGATCATTCTCTGCTTGTGAAAAGATACAGGCTAACCCCATAAAACCTCTGCTACATAACCACAAGAAATTTTTATTTAAACAATAAAGGTTAACAAGAATAAAAACTGATCATTTTATGTATATCATGTATTGTGTAAACCAGCAGATTAGGAAAAAACAAAAATGATCAAATAACACAGGTATTAGTAATGCACTACTACTCACCCTCCTTTTTCAGCCATTTCACAATGTTCCCTTCTTCCATTGTAGGAGACAGTGATGGCATTAGTATCTTAATAGGATCAGCTGAAATTGAAAAAAAGGAAAGATTAAACACAAAAAGTAATACACTTCATGAGGCATCAACAAAAAGTTCAATATGAAATTCAACCTGAGGAAAAAAATATTCCAGTCTGAAAGATACCCAACTGATCAAACTAAGTGTTCAGTAATCTTTTCCAGAATATTTTCAATTCCTTTTTCATCGTTCCCTGAAGTCCTCTATGCATATTTTCAAGCCAGGTGCTTACAAAGATTAAAAAAAAAAGCTGACTTATGTTTCATCTTTTTCTCCTTCCCCTTTTGTCACTACAAAAAAATATTTACAGGTAAAACAACCAGAGGAAAAGACAAATAAAAAGAAAATAAACTGGTTTCTGATAACCTACAACACAATAATTAAGATTAGATTTACAACAGAATAATCAAGATTAAACTTTAAGAAACTGGTTGTGTTTTTACTTTCATCTAACATTATATACGATTCAAGAATCAAGGGTTCTTGCTGCTAAGTGTGAAAAGGAGAGGTTTGCCTTGTTGCGGATGATCTGGCAAGAGAACTTATGTAGTTAAATTAATCTGAGATTGTATTCTATACCAGAATTCGATTAAGGATCCAAAAAGATAAGACTCAAGCCAGGAGGACCTCTCAATAAAGCAGAGCTACTTTTCCCTCAGGTATCAAAAAAGAAGACACTTCATATATTTGCCAGATGTGCTTCCCAAGAGTTCCACCTTCCAGGACCAGAGCACACAGTTGTTACATTACAATTTACAGGAAGTTTATCCTAATAAATAGTTACCCATTCCAGTGCTTATTTAGCAGCAGCCGCAGTCACAAACTACATTCCCTGAAATCTTCCACAAAACTTATTCTATTCTTAGATTATTCAAGTCTCTGACATAAAAAAGCAAAACATATCACATCTAGCATATTTCAAATGTGGAAAAGAGTAGAACAGGACTTTTTCTCCCCATTGATGTTTTGGGGTTTAATATTAATGTTAAATGATGTTAAACATTTTCTTTGGGAAACAAATGATTTTAATGTAATTTCAAATGGGGCGTTCCAATGGCGTCATGGTAAAGGAGTTCCATCTCTGAAATATTTGGAAGGAAGCTTCTGTCCTCCCTCCAGTTTTCATTCACTCCCCTCTAAAGGACCGGGAAAAGGATCTGAACAAATACACCTGCCTCAGTCTTTTCCTCATTATAAGACCTGCCTGCCTATAGAGAGCCTTCATTTTCCCCTCAGTTCTTCTATGCACTAGGCATAAATGGACCTGCCCTTCAAAGCAGAGAGAAAGTTCAACACTCTCTGTTCCTGCCAGCAGGCCCAGTGGGTGCTAGGAAGTTACTCAGGATGTGTAGTTTATATACACAAACTCTCTCAAACAAAAGCCCAAAGTCTACACAGGGGCTGTACTGAGGAGTCCAACTGTAGAAGGCCACAGACTTAAGTCACATTTTCCAATTGAACAAAATCATCAGCGTTAAAACTGTTACTCTGATCTCCATCCGTCTGACTTTTTGCCTCTTTCTCAACTGGTACTAAACTATAAGGATACAAATGTAGAATCATCACTCTTAATAATACCCCGACAATGACAGAGCCCAAACCAAATTCTAAGTCAACACACCCATTTCATCAATGAGAAAAACACAGCCCCTGATCGAGGGATCTGAATTCTCTCAAGGCTGTACTCTCCTACACTCTATTACCACTCATCAATAATTGATGATCCTTACAAATATGGACCATCAATTCATTAATCATCAGTTATTTATGGCTTATTCACTCAGAAATTCAAACGTGAGTATTCTTCATGTGTCTAATCAAATAGCCTAACAATCCCTCTCTATTAAAAGTTCAAGGCTGACAATATGAGATGGAATACTTCACAATCACATACATAGCAAATTTATACATCAAATAGTTTCAATACAAGGAGGCAAACTAAATGAACTGCAATGATTCTATGTCCAGATTCTGATGTATGACAAACACGTACTCGATTTTCTCAAAACAAAGTCTCTCTTCAATATTTTTATACCTTGGTTCTAGCTGCCATGATACAACAAATATTTATTTTACGATTCTCTCCTATTATAATCTCTCACCTATGAGACTATCACATTTTCCATTATTTCTGACATTAAGTACTTTATTATGAAAATTTCACATTATTTTATGAATTCCCACATCAAGAACCACAAAAATTTTCATATTTTAAAAGTAAAAACATCATTCCTCATAGAGCCACCCTTCATGGGTGAATTGTAATTGCTTCTCTGAATAATGACAATAAAACATAAAAATTCTGTAATAGATCACGATCCTTCTCTGAAATGAAGGTGACAAAAAAACAAAGACATTCTGGACATTTCCATTATTCAGTACTATCTCCTGACTGATTATACCGACTTATGGAGAATAAAATGTGCAATGTGTTTTCTGATTAATCTGAGTCATCTATCCTCAGACTCTCATGCTAGAAAATCATTTTTAAAAGGAAGTATTAATTTATTAATGAAAATGAATATTTCATTCTAGTATATCCTCGTTCTCCCTGAATATTACACACATCTTTTCCAAATATTTTTTTTTTCAGTGGGAAGGTAATTATATAATCATAATACCAGTTCTGAATGAAGGGCTGCACATAACTAATATCTGATGGCTGCCATCAATTCTTTTGAAGACAGTATGGGCTTTTCTAGACTCCTTGAATTTTAACCTATACATAACATTACTTAACTCCATTAGAAGCTATATATCACTTCCCTTCTCATTTCAATAAGCAGTACATTCTACCTTTCTCCTAGCAAACTAAGGAGGCCTTGAAATGGGCACCAACTACAGTTCCTATTTATAACTGGGCACAACTATAGTAATAATAAAGGAAATGTGGTTTTTTCATTCCCCTGGTCATACAGGTTATTTCAATTAGTACTCAAAAAATGCCCCATTATTTTGTTAACTTTAACCCTCTTGTAGTCATTTTAGTGTTGTTTCTTTTTATCAAGCTGAAAACTGTATCTATTGGCTGATAAGTCTGCCCTTCTGTAGCAGTTAAAGACAATATTTAAAATATTTTAAGGTAACTAGAGTACTGCACATTTCCAGGTTATATTTAAATATACTGATTTTAGAGTCTCATCAAGCCATCACAATTGTTTTAATCTTTTTCTGCCTCAATAGAACGGCACTGTCATTTCTTAGTATATTTCATATCTTTAGAACACATTTCTTCTTAGTATATTGCTGCTTTACCCTCTTCATCAGGCATTCGAGCCTACGAGCAATCGATCACTCACTGACTCTATAGCAGTTTTTCTAAACAATTCCCAATTTCTTCAAACCTGATCTTCCAACCTTTCTAAAGCATAATTCAATTTTCAACTTCAAATATAGTGCATTAATCTAATTTCTTATTCTCTAAAGCATGTCTTTAATTTTAAAAAATTCATAGAGCAGCAAAACCTATTAAAAAAAGTTTTAAATTGAAGATCTACACATCAATTCTAAAAGGTCTCTAGATTAAAAGAAAAAGATTAATATAAGCAAACTCTTAAAATACAAAGGCAGAACAAATAGCTTGGTGGCTAATATGAAGCACATCTAAGCTCCATTACTCTAACAATTAAGGAAACTCCACAATTTACATATGGTACTGCTTGAGGGTCATGCTCTGTTCCATTAATACGACTATAATCCAAACACAAAAATCATGAAGTGAAGATAGACAAATCGAAGAAATAAATTACTCAATACTTCATTAGCACAGCTCTCTGTTCTTTACATTAATTTGCTTATTTCCTAATAGAAAGCTTTTCATTTAATCACTTCTCTTTTTAACACAAGAACTCATTAAATAAAATTGACCTTTAAAATTTCTGCTTAAATAAAGCAATTCTGCCACCTGCAGGCTGGATGAAAAAAGGCCATATGAAGTACAAATAATTTCAAAATCAGTACCAGGGCACAAAGTAATATTAACACTGCAGTTTTGAATAAAGAAAGGTAAAGATGTCACATGGGTCTTTGTTCAAATACTTATTTTGATATAAGAATAGATTGAAAATGTCAATGAGCAACAACAGAAAACATATGCATAATAGTTTGTGTGAATATAGTATTTAAAGTAACAAACATAATGAAAGATGTCCCTCAAACAGTACACATATACATGGCATAGTAAAGGGCAGGGAAGCAGTGCTGCAGGCAATGGGGTTGCAGAGTCAGACACAACTTAGCAACTATGCGTGCGCGCGCGCACACACACACACACACACACACACACACACACACACGTCATAATCCAAGTTCTACCTATTTAGCTTGTATGTACACAAAGACTGAAAGGACTCACTCCAAAATGACAACAGTACCTGTCTTTAGTTGATGGCTTTTTTATATATGCTTTTTGTTTCTTTGTCTCTTGTTACTTTCAGACATAAACCCACAAGAACAGGGAGAAAAGAAAGAACACCAGAACACACTCTGGAAGCAGAAAAGTGAATAATGTAGATAGGAAGACAAATGACTGACTAAGAGAGTCTAAGAAAGCTGAATGCTAAACCAGAAGTGGAAAAAACTGAGATAGTCAACCTGGTTTATATGAGAATTTCCCAAAGTTCCAAGAACTGGCAGTACTGAGGACTTTTGGAAATACTGGCCCTTTGAAGACTTGGGTGAATGCTATTTAAGTTCTGAGTAACACCACCATCCTTCAACAGAAGACTGGAGGTTGTTTCCTCTGTAGAGGTAAAAGAAAAGACCTTTGGGAGACAGGTTGAACCTACACACCTAGAGAAATACAGAAACTACAAAAGTGTATTAACTGAAAAAACAGCTGATGTGACTGACAATACCAGAAACTGTGTCAGGTAGGTATTAGATGGTGTGGGACAAACAGGCAAGTTAAAGAAAAAAGTATAAAGGCAAAAGATTTGAAAAAATGCAGAAAAAGGTCAGTTCAGCTCAGTTGCTCAGTAGTGTCAAACTTTTTGCAACCCCATGGAAT